ACAACAAAGGATCTAACGTTTACTATTAAGCGATCGTTTACAATTAAAAACGACGATGTTTGAGAGATTTTAACAGATCCACAAGATGAATGAAGATCAGAATAAGGAACTCAGAAAGAAGCTTCCAAGAAAGCTTCACAAACAGAAATCGAGAAACCCCAACTCAAAAAAACCGATCAAAACACAGAAAAAAACGACGCAGGAATATGAACCTGCTTTGATACCATGATAAAAACTCACAAGACTACAAATCTATCCACAACATCAACAGATCTTTTATTAAACGAGAAACAAGATCCAGTTGGTTTTCAAGAACTTACAACTGAAAACTCACTACATCAACACTCACACTCAGACATACACAACAATCAAATGAGTTTTAGTTTACAGATCAAGTCTAACAGAAATCAGACTCTAAAACTAGAACAAACCCTAAAACGAAGAAGACGAAGATGACTCAAGAACAGAGAGACTCAATTTGTGTGTGTTGGTTAAATGAACTGAATGAATCCCAAATAACACAGTTGAGCAAACATATATACCTCAGATAATATCCACAAACCAAACCCGAACATATCCGATCCATACCCGTTCTCAAAGATCCGTGTGCTTTCTCTTTTATACAGAAAGCAAGTTATACCCCCTGCACTTACAGAAACAAACACAACATACCCAACAGCACAAATCTATTTCTATTCTTATAATAAAACATTTCTTCAAATTTACAGATTCAACCCAGTTTAAGAAATTATTCAATGTTAATCTTGAACCATAAATAGCTATATTTTAACAACAAGGCCTAACATCATATATGTAGTTAGCTTGGCGAGTAAATTTATGGATAAGCATTATTCAAATCATTAGAAAGCTACCAAGAGAATTTTTAAGATATATTAAAGGAACCATTGACTATGGAACTTTTTATGAATCTAATGCACCAGTTAATCTTATTGGTTATATTGATAGTGATTTAGCTGGAAGTATGGATGATAGTAGAAGCATATATGGATATGTTTTTCATCGTGGAAGTGGTGCAATATCATGGAACTCAAAGAAACAACAAGTTGTGGCGCTTTCTACAACTGAGTTTGAATATATTTTTACAGCTTATACATGATGTCAATTGGTTTGGTTACGTGGAATATTGGAGACTATTCATCAAAAGAAAAACAAGCGAACAACTTTGTTTTGTGACAATAGTTCAACCATTTATGTCACAAAACATCCCACTTTTCATGGAAGGACAAAGGATATACGCTTGTGATATCATTTCTTGAGAGAACTTGTAAACGAATGAGATGTTCATTTTGAGTAGTGTAAGTCAAAAGATCAAACAATGTATATGTTCACAAAGCCAATTGGTGCTCATGTTTTCAAAGGAAATATTGAAAAGACTGGGAGTAACAAGCAAGTTTAATTTACGAGAGGCATCGTTGGAAAAAATAAATTAACTTGCATGAGTATATGGAGTTATTGTGTTTTATTAAGTTTTTACATCTTGATCCAGTAACCTGCGAAATAAATAGTTGTTATAAAGATAAATAATGGTAGCTAATGAAAGATCTAGTCATTTATGGAGTAACTATGTTGGTTACAAATAAACTCTACATATTGTTTTTTTTGTTTTGTTTTTTTTTTATCTTATGAGAAATAATTAAGAAGAAACAAAAGTTTTTTTTTCTTGTGTAATCTTTGTTTTTCCAGTGAAAAACTCTTCGTGGCTATAGACGAGGTTTTGCAATAGTATGTTGTCGCTAGACCTGCCAAGAAGTCGTCATAGTAGGGTTGGCGGTTATATATAGCTTAACATGTCACAGCTACTATAGCATAGATTTATGGTTACCAAAGAAATATTATCGCCATTGACAAGTATAGTGACTAAATATAGTGCTATGATATTCATAGGGAAGGTAATCGTCAGAGTTGATATAAGTTACAAAAGTTTGATCTATTCCGAGGAACTTTGTGGTCTCCCTAAGAGCATCGGGTGTGGGCAACAAGATGCAACATCAAGTTGTGCCACCTCACATGTCACATAAGCAAATGGTGTTACAACACCAAGTGGTGAAATGGGCAACAAGATGCAACACCAACTTTTTTGAAAAAAATGTTTTATTATTTTTTTTTCTTTTTCTTTTTCGTTTTTCTTTTTCCTTTTTTGTTTTTTTCTTCCTTTTTGGTTTTTTTTCCTTTTTATGTTTTTTTAATCACTAAAATTAATATATTTTTATAAAACATAAAATTTTAAAAACAAAAAAGACATAATATTTAAAATCTAAAATTACGATTACAATTAAAAATACATAATTTTAAATCTAAAATCATAACTAAAATACCATTTGAATTACTTCTAAAACAACACAACAATCCTAATTAACCCAAATATTTCTTCCTAATTTATTCCTTCATTGCTTGTAGCACCGCTAGATCCTCAGGCGCCAAACCCTCTTCGCTCGTCCGAAGAATTGACAACCGATGTGTCATTAGTTCCCTCTCTATTTGCTCCTGCTTCTCTCGTGCCTGCCTTTCTAGGAACTCCAAATGACGACGTTTCAAGTCATTTTTTTTTCTTTTATTAATAAATTGTGCTCGTCGAATTTCGCTCTTATTTTCGCCGCCTCTTTTGCTTTCGCCTTAACCTCCTCCGCATGCCTTGCAACGCGCCTTGATTTGTCGCGTTCGGGCGGTCTTCGTGATGGGGATATCTCCTCGATATCATCCGGGATCTCATTGCTGTCGGCGTTTAGGTCGATGTGAGTCTGTGCGTCCGACACGTCGACCGAGCTCGAATTGCGAGACCTTTTGGATTGAACCTCTGACGATGTAGGCATTTTATTCCACCTTGGATCCACTCGCAACAACTCCCATGATTTTTCAAAGTCGAAAACATGTCCCATTTCGACCCGATATTGTTCCTTAGCAGATTTGTACAAATCGAAGTCGTTGGTTCCGCTTTTCTGTTGCACCTGAAGCCGGTTGTAAATACCGTTGAATTTGCTGCACCGCTTAGTTATTTGACCCCATTTGCTGCTCAACATGTCATTGTTGCGATACGAATTTTTCTTTAAAATAGCGTGAAACTTGTCGCGCACCGCCCCCCCAATAAGCTCCTTTCTTCATTCCATTTCCGTGGAGTTCGTCTTTTGAAGTAGCACACCAAGTCGCCGTCAAAGCATATTCTTCCTCCGGTGTCCACCATTGTGGAACGTCTGCATTTTCTGTTTCAGCCGCTATCGATTTCCATTTCGATTTTCATTTCCCTTTCCCTCTCCTACTACCTCCCGTTTCCACTTCAACTGATTGTTGTGTTGTCGGCGATGGTTGGTTGGTTGTTTGTTGCATCGAAGCAAAAGTAGGGAAAATATTTTGTTGTAAATTTGGGTTTTGACCAAATAGTTTTTGTTGAAGGTAAGGTGAGTTTGGAAATAGTAGTAGCGATGAAGCGGGATTGAAAGCGGCGCCTTGGTATGAGATTTGTGGTGAGCCTTGAGACGATAAAAGGTTGAAATAATTTCATAACCCGCGAATCCGAGAGGCGAGATTGTGTCTGGGTTTGATGATGGAGGGGGGTGTTTGGGTTTTGCTCCATTTTTTATTAAGAAAGTGTATAAAATATAGAGAGAATGTTAAAAGATGTAAAAATTGAATTAAAATGAGTATATATATATATATATATATATATATATATATATATATATATATATATAGCTAAAAAGGTAATTTTTTTTTAATATTGACCGTTGCAAATGGTCATTAAAGTCAACGGTCTCATTTTTTCCCGTTTCAATTCGTCGCAACGCCCACGAGACTTGCTCGACGAGATGCAACAAGTTGGGGGGGGGGGTGTTCCCCCCGTTATGACGGTGTTGTGGCCATCCAGGTCAGCCACTTCGTTTCTCGTTATGGCCCATACCGATCGGTCTAACTGTTATTTCTTGTAGTCTCATCAAATAGTTTTACTTTAGGTGCTAGAATTTTATGTTTTATTTTATAAGTGTCAAAGTTTTTATTTTTTTATACAAAACCAATCAATTTTATTCCAAGCTCGAACAACTTTATTTGTTTCTCAGTTCTCAATAAAACTTGCCAGCTATTGTTTTATCCAGAAGAAAAGTGTTGACCTCAAAACAAGATTAATATGGATATCATACATACTTATAAAGCTAGCGTTTTTTTTGAATCTCATACATTTGAAACCCCATTTTTTAACTTCCTCAAACCACATTCATTTGAAACCCCCTTTTTTAACTAATGCAACTCAAAAGTTTTATTAATTATGATTTAACACTCAAAAGTTTTATAACTTATATTATGTTTAATTAGCATTTAGTGAAAAACTTACTATAAAAGACCAATCTTTTGGAAAGACATGCATACAAATCATATACAAATTTAAAAAGGAAAACAAACTTAAAGGTTTTTGTGTTGGGTTGAGGTCTTATGACCACTTTTGGAGATATGCTATTATATTAGAGCTTTTAATTTGTAAGTTTGTTATACTAATTCGTTTTCATATTTTCTTCGTTTTTGGATTATTGTAATACAGTCGTTGTTATACAAAAACTTATAATATATATTGGATATTATAAAAGTAAAAGTAAAGTTTATAAGGTATGGACTATATTAAATAGTATCAAAATATAAGTTGATGGATTTTTATGATATTTGATAATTCGATTAATGTCCAAAACATGACTAAAAACGTAAATTTCAACATATTTTTCTATTTTGTTCCGATAATTATTTTAACCACTTAAATGTATTCTTGCGCAACACCCGAGGTTACAACTAGTTAATAAGAATACATGTTGGATTAGTAATGGACACGATCAATTTGCACGGACAGGTATATAGAGTGATATATAAATATTTAGACTGTGAAAGTCATGATAATAATACTGAAATTTAATGCACCTAGATGTTCGCATATCTAACCATATAATGTCAAGGCTCCGTGACCTCTTATTATAAAGTAGTTGAACTAACATTTCCACTTACCTATGGCTCTACCACATCTTGTAAATGTGATTGGGTTAATGTTCCTGTGTAGAACTACATTAATATACTCCTCCTCATCTTTGTCTTCTCCACCCTTTGGTTTGAAACTGGGCTCATCTCTCTCAGTGGAGAAAAAGGGGGACTTCTTGATCTCACCAAATGGCTTTTACACTGCCGGATTTTACAGGGTAGGCGAGAATGCTTATTGCTTTTCAATATGGTTCGCGAAAGCTTTATCAGACCGAAATCGTACTCTAGTATGGATGGCCAACCGAGATTTACCAGTCAACGGGAAGTTCTCAAAACTTTCGTTGCTGAAAACTGGAAATCTTGTCTTAAGGGATGCATATCAACGGTTGCCTATATGGACGACAACTACTCGAGATTCAACGAAATCTGCTCAGCTGAAAATGAACGATTCAGGAAACCTTTGCCTACAAAATAAACTTGGAAAAGTTCTGTGGCAAAGTTTTGACTCCCCAACAGATACCCTTCTTCCCAATCAACCACTCACGAAAGATGCACCACTTGTGTCTTCAAGAAGCCTAACCAATTACTCATCAGGATACTACAAGTTGTTCTTTGACAGTGATAATGTGGTTCGACTTGTATACAGTGACCCTAAATTGACAGGCATCTATTGGCCTAGTCCCGACGTACGAGCATGGGAATCTGGTCGGAATATCTATGGAAGTCGAAGAATTGCAACAATGGATTCTTCTGGTCATTTCATTTCAACTGATGATCTATTATTCAATACATCAGACGCTGGAGATCAGCCTTTAAGAAGGTTGACGTTGGATGTTGATGGTAACTTCCGAGCCTACAGTCTGGATGAGATCACAGGAATTTGGCATGTTACATGGCAAGCTCTTTCTAACACATGCTATATCCATGGAAGTTGTGGAGAAAATAGTACATGTTCCAACGACCCTGTCTATGGTAGGAAATGTTCATGCCTACCAAATCACAGGATGATCAATCATACAGATTGGTCATATGGTTGTGAACCCGAATTTAAGCCAACTTTATGTGGTAATGGTGAGGATCAATTCCTACATCTTCCTCATTTTGACTTCTATGGATATGATCGTAGATACATGCCTAATACAACCTTAGAAGAGTGTAAGCAAGTTTGCAGAAATATGTGCGATTGCAAAGGGTTCCAGTTCAAGAACGACTGGAGGAAAGGGTTTTCTATTTGTTACCCAAAGTTCCTGTTGGTGAATGGATTAAGCTCATCTGATTTTAATGGTTCCATGTATCTAAAGGTTCCAAAAGATATTCCCTTATCTTCCAAAAACATTAAGGTCGGTGAAGAGTTCAGTTTAAAATGTTCCTGGAAGCCTGCAATCCAACTAGACCGAACTTATGACATTAATCGGCAAAATAAATCCATACAGTTACTGATGCTGATAATAACAAGTGTATTTGGAGCATTGGAGATTATCTGCATAACATACTTCTGTTATGGAACTCGTTCACATTCAACTACTGAAGGTTATCTCCAAGCTGCGAGTGGATTTAGGAGATTCAGCTATGCCGAGTTAAAGAAAGCCTCAGGAAATTTCAGCAACGATATAGGGAGAGGAGGTGGTGGCGTTGTGTTCAAAGGAGTGTTGTCTGATAACCGAATTGCAGCAATTAAGCATCTTAATGAATCTAGTAACAATCAAGGGGAAGCTGAACTTCTAGCAGAGATAACAACCCTTGGGAAGCTTAATCACATGAATTTGATAGAGATGTGGGGGTATTGTGCTGAAGGTAAACACAGGCTTTTAGTTTATGAGTATATGGAATATGGGTCACTGGCTCACAACTTATATTCCAGTCAGCTCGATTGGGATCAGCGGTTTGACATTGCATTGGGCACAGCAAAAGGACTTGCTTATCTACACGAAGAATGTTTGGAATGGATATTGCATTGTGATGTTAAGCCTCATAATATATTACTGGACTGTCGTTACAAGCCCAAGGTAGCAGATTTTGGGTTATCAAAGTTGTTGGATAGAGATGGGACTGGTAATTCAGAGTTTACAAGAGCAAGAGGGACAAGAGGTTACATGGCTCCAGAATGGTTGTTTGTTAATCTTCCGATAACCGCAAAAGTTGATGTCTATAGCTATGGTGTGGTGATGTTAGAGATGATAACAGGGAGGAGCCCAACAGGCGCCAATCAGAGTGGGGGATCAGAAGGAAGGCTAGATAGCTGGGTGAGAGAAAAGATCATTGCCACTAGTGGACCGAATGACCGGGTCGAAGAAATTATAAACTCAACAATTGAAGGGGAGTACAACAAGAAGAGAATGGAAATTCTCATTAAGGTGGCTTTACAATGTTGTGAGGAAGATAAGGATGCAAGACCAACCATGAGCCAGGTTGTGGATATGCTGATGCACGTGGAAGAACATCATTAATTAGAAATAAGAAAATGGTATTTAATAGCTATCTTAATTTGAAAGAGTTTATCATGAGCTTTTTTATGTTTGTAAATGTAATGTAAAAAAATAGCTAAGGGACTTGCCATGGTATTTGGTGTGTCGTGTATTCTAGTGTTAGAACAAGAGTATAAAACAGAAATTATACTATTAAAAAAATAATACGTACGAGTTATAGAATATTAGTTCCCGGTAAGCCCTTGATGCAATAAGGATGATTTCAGGGACCTCCTCAAGTTTTAAGAGATGTAGGGAACAACCCTACATTCTCTTCTCATGAACATAGCTTTCAATTTTTCAATAGATGTTGAGAATAATGAATGTTTCCTTATCATTATCAAATATCCTTGGAAAGTATCCTTGATTTATTTGTTAATATTGTTTGGTTGGGTTATTTTTTGTTTATTTCGGTTTCTTGTTTTGCTTTTTATTTCTTGCAAGGGACTGGTTTTGTAAAGAAGCTAAGTCTTCTGGGTTGCGACTTAATTGATTGAAACCTGTTAGGACACACGCGGGTTTTATTCGAGTGAGAATGGGTCGGATTTATACATATTTAATCCGGTTTGTACTCGATGTATAAAGTATGTGGTGTGTGTTGTTTGAGTAGAATTGATTCATTTTTCACACACACTTCTCTTATTTTCTCTCTCAAGTCAGTGACATCGTTTAGGGTTTACTCAGTTAGGGTTTGTTCATGTTGTACAGATCGTCGTTGTTTCTTTATTTTGTGTGAGTACATTAGGTGAGTGCTGGAGATGAACATTTGTAAGAGTGTAGAGAGTAGTAGTGAGGACTTCGTTTGTAAGTACATGAAACCAACTGGTTCTTTAGGAATAAGAATTGTTGATGTTGTGAAGTTTTGTGTTCTTTATCATTTTAAGTTTTTTTAGATGGTATCATAACCTCGTTGGTTGTTTTTTATCTGAGTTTGTCTCGATCTGTTACGGTTTCAGGTCTAGACTGTTAGCGTTTCCTATAGTTTCTCGATCTAGACCTGGTCCTTTATTCTTCTTCGGTCTGTTGTTATCAGATCGTTGTAGATCTGGTTCTTTGTTCTTTTCCGATATGTTATCAGATCGTTGGATTGATTGGTTTCCATCAACTCTGGTGGTATCCTAGTTACGATCTTTTGGGAGTAAACGTTCGTGATAAAGTAAAGGTTTAGGGTTAACAACTTATTAAACCTAACGGTCAACATTATCATCAGCGGTCAACGTCAAAAGACGTAAACCTAACACCCCCGAACCGTCAGAACGGACGGCGGAAACGTCCGGGGGCGGGTGACGTCATGCATAGTATCACAACAATCGTATCATAGTAATCAAAGTAACACAACCATTACATTATAATATGAATATTTACATCTGTTTGAAAAACATAGTTTGTACATCGGTGTATATAACAAAAGTAAAAGACATGACTCCAAAATGCTCCGTCTTTTCCAAAAGTTGGCAAGAGTACCTGTCTATTGTTGCCCTGAGAATACAAGCAGTTTGAAAGAGTATCAACATAAAGCTGGTGAGTTCATAAGTTTTTAGTTCTGGTAAAAAAATGTTTCTTTGTTCCTTTGAAAAGTGTTTTCCAAGAAAATCCTATATTTTCTTATGAAAGATGTTTGATTATCCATTAGTTATTTGTTAAACAGTCCGTTTATGAAAGGTTGAGTTATCCCGGGAAAATCCTATATTTTCCCTAAAAGTTGATAGTTAGTTATCTGTTCTTGTCTGAGGTGTACAAGTATCTACCATACTTGTATCGTTAGACGTAGTTTTTTTGAAAAACCCTGTTTGTTCCCTGTGAGGTGTATTAGCCTTATTACATAAATAAAACTAATAAATAAGTGGTGAACTAAATCCTAAGGGTGTTATTAATACCCTCTAGTAATTGAATTGGTTATTACTTTGAGGTTAGTTCACTTGTTTCATTATTACAAATGTAAGTTACTATTATCTAGGTTGCGAGTGTCATAACCGTACTTAGACTTGATATGGCACGTAACGGGGCCAATATCTTTTTATGAATTTGTCACCCGTAGACCTGCTGGTCCGACTGTAGCTAGCAGCGAGGTGCGGGATTGTCAGTCCCGTATAGATCTATACACAATAGTCACGTTCTCCCTACATGCGATTCTGGTTACAAGTGCTAATCCTACACCCAGTTTCTGTGGGGGTGTTACCAAGGACGTGTCTCCAACTTTAGACTAACAATTTGTATGTAATAATACTGATAATCATGTTTAAGATTTGTACGAATCCTTTATAAAATAACACATTTTACGATATGATTCACGAAATTCATTGCTTTAGTTTTAAAAAATGTTTCTAAGAGTTGATTTCTTAATTGTTTGGTAAAACTGTTTTCTGTGTTAAAAGCATTCTGAACATAAAATAATATACTTTGAGCACAAGTTTCCTTGTACTTTTGCTTGCATTCCCCCCCCCCCCCCCTGAAAACATGGAAAACTCGGAAAAAGCGTAGGGGTATGAACTCACAGTTTGACGTAAGATCCGAGCGTAAGGTCGGTGTGGATGTTGAGTGTCAACTGATGTTTCGTACGCAAGTGGATCCTATTAACATATGGTAACACATATATGTATTAGATGAGGACATAACACTATTTGTTATGGAAGGAAACCACCTTAGGGACTAGGAAACTCTTGAAACTAAGTGTTAGAATCACACGTGATTGAAGATGGGGAGTTTGTGGCCATAATCAGGAGTGTACGGTCAGGGGTTTGAGGCCCAACAGGGTTTACGGCCCATGGGTTTACGGCCCAAGTGTTTGCGGTCCATGGGTTTACGGCCTATGAGTTTACGGCCCATGAGCTTACGGCCGTAAACACTTGGTGAAAGGTGCGATTTTCGGTGTTTCAAGGTCCTGTCTAGCCTCTTGGAAGTGTTCTAAGCCTTGTGCCCAGCTCAAGGGAGAGTTTAAAGGCCAATAATCGACCAAAAATGGATTTTACGGCCATTGAAGGGAGTACGGCCGTAAACCCATTTCGTGTTCATGATTTTGGGTCGATTTTTAGGTAAAAACAAGTGATTCCTAGTAGATAACAAGCATAAGGAGTAGTCACTTACTATAAGAGGCTTCGAATGAGGTTTTTAGCCACCAAGAACTAGTGTGTGTTCTTGGTGTTCTTGGTGATAGAGAAGATCTAGCAAATGATGAAATTCATGAGATGGAACATGGATTCATCACTAGAAAAGGGATTGAAACACAATAGAAGTGAAGAATCACTTACATTTTGAAGATCCTTGAGCAAAACTCGAAAGTTATGGAGAGAGAGTAGAGAGAGAAAGTCCCTTGAGTGCTTAAAGTTTGAAATGAAGGCCACTCATCCTTTATATAGGGGTGAGTTTTCGGCCAAGGGGTGGGGTGGTGGGTGTACGGCCGTAAACTCGAGTTTGCGGCCGTACACTCATCTCGAAGGGGTGTTTGGCCCGGATGCTACTCTTTGACTTGGAAAAACTCGTTCTTGGACCCAAACTTCGATTTTACTGAGTTCAAAATATTTAATTAGACCCGAGATATAGCTGACAAGAGAAGAAATAAATTCCGAATTGATTTATTTTTAACGGTTTGAACGGAAGAAATTTCGGGTTGTCACATCATTCCCCCGTTAGAGGGAATTTCATCCCGAAATTCGAACATAGAATACAAATCATGAATTTGGAAAGAGATGCGGATACTTCTGCTTCATCTGATCTTCACGCTCCCAAGTGAATTCGGGTCCCCACTTGGCATTCCAGCGAACCTTCACTATCAGGATGCGACTTTGTTTCGTTTGTTTGATCTCTCTATCCATGATTTCGACCGGTTCTTCCATGAAGTTCAGATTCTCGTTGATTTCAATCTCATCGAGAGGGATCATAAGAGTTTTATAGGATAAACACTTCTTAAGATTCGAGACGTGGAAGACAGGATGAATGTTGTTAAGTTCTCGGGGTAGACGAAGTTTGTATGCTATGGGACCGATCCTAGCGAGGATCTCGAAAGGTCCTATGTGTCTTGGATTTAGCTTTCCACGCTTTCCAAAGCGTATCATGCCTTTCCAGGGTGAGACCTTTAACAGAACACGGTCTCCAACCTGGAACTCCAAGGGTTTTCGTCGTTTATTGGCGTAGCTCTTTTGTCTATCTCGTGAGGCTTTCAGTCGTTCCCGGATTTGTACGATCTTTTCTGTAGTTTCTCGAATGATCTCTGGGCCTGTGAGAATGTTGTCAGGGACTTGTCCCTTAGCTAGCTGCGTGTCGCCCACCTCAGCCCAGCACATAGGGGATCTGCACTTGTGGCCATAGAGGGCTTCGAAAGGCGCAACCTTGATGCTGGTATGGTAACTGTTGTTGTAGGAAAATTCGACCAAGGGCAAATGGGTGTCCCACGACTTACCGAAGTCAATGACACGTGCTCTCAACATGTCTTCCAAGGTCTGGATGGCTCTCTCACTCTGCCCATCTGTCTGAGGATGGTAAGATGTGCTCATATCCAGTTTAGTTCCAAGAGCTTTCTGCAGGGACTGCCAAAATCTCGAAGTGAACCTGCTATCTCGATCGGAGATAATGGACACAGGCACACCGTGCAGTCGGACTATCTCTTGGATGTAGATTCATGTGATTCTTTCCATCTTGAAAGTTTCTTTGATTGGCAGGAAGTGAGCGGATTTTGTCAATCGTGTGAGTCTTTCCATCTTGAAAGTTTCCTTGATCTCTAGGTTCTTTTCCATTCCCCTCAAGGTTTCACCCAGCATGTTCTCTGGTTTTAAGGCTTCCAGCTGAGCCTCCTTGATTTGCACGGATAAATGGGAATGGATAGTCATGGTCAGTGCCTTCACTCTACGACCTGAGTACTCATTCCGGCTGAGGGCGTCTGCCACCACATTGGCCTTGCCGGGATGGTAGCGTATTTGGCAGTCGTAATCGCTGAGTAGCTCAACCCATCGCCGTTGCCTCATGTTCAATTCCTTCTGGTCGAAAAT